ATTTTAAAAAAAATAGAAAGTAGGATTTTGGAAGCTGTTCCAAAGAAACAGTTCTAAAATCTCACACAAATTGTTTTTAAACTATTTCAACCCCAAAGGAAAAATTTTTTTGATATAAATAGAAAATTCACAAGATAAACGGAAGGATCAAATAAATTATGGGGTATTCACAAAACAGAAAAGTCCAAACTTGCTAAAAATTCTCATTGTAGTTAGTACCAGAGCAAAATGTTTATAATGTTTTATGAAAAAAGGACCATGAAACCTGGTCACTGTGATAGCTACATGTAAATGGACATGTAAGCTAGGAGTGGTAGCGCACGCCTGTGATCCCAGGAAGATCGAATGTCTGAAGCTGCCTGGGCTACATAGCAAGTTCAAGGCCAGAACGAGTTACATACTGAGACCCTGTCTCCAAAAATAAGGGGGGTGGGTGTCATTTAACAGCAAGGTAAATGAAGACTGAAAGAGAAAATGTCAAAATGCAAATACCTATCACAGAACAAGGGACTGAGCGAGCACTCATTCAGAACCTGCTTATCCTCACAGTGACCTAGTAACTACGGCAAGGCAGATCCACTGCTTGAAGGCACTGAGGGGAGATCTTCAAAGTGATGCACAAGCATCGGAGTTTAAGAGCAGATGGCAGCAATACCCTCTGCTGAGCCCTTTCTGGTATGGGGTGAGCGGCATGTTCCCAAACACAGCTCAGAAAATGGCCATGCTACCCAGGAGGCTGTGCCAGTTACTGACAAGGGAAATCAGAATGCACGATGACCCACAGCCACTAGGCACCTGTATGTGCTGACCACCTAGCTGGTAGGAGACAAGTGAGACAGGGTGTGTAATATTAACTCACTGTCCAGAGGCCTGGGAACTGACCCAGCCCTGCTTGGACCCCCTCATCTATGTTATAACCACGACTGCTGTTAAGCACTTTGAACGTACGTCTCTTACCAAGAAGACCCTTTCTAATATGAGTCGAGAGCCCAAGTGCTAATGTGTGATGGCACGTCTGAATTCCAAGCCCCTCAAAAAAGAGAAAGAAAGTTGTCCATAGGAAGACAAAATCCAGACATGCCCTGGAAATTCTTTCCCAGCCTGGCTTCCAACCAAGCAAAAGTCATGCTGTTTCATTCAAAGGAAGCCCACAGTGGTCCCTTCCTGGCTGACCAAAGGTAAAGGGGTGGGAAGGAATCAAGAGGCGACAGGGAATCCCCAACCCACATCCTGTAGACACAGCCAGGCCAGCACTAAGCTGGACATTCAGGGAGCACATGACGTCCCCCAGGGAATTTACACACCAGCCAAGGAAGCAGCGCACACCCATAAGACAACTAGACACGATCCCACAACTCCATCAACTGGGAAACAGCAGGTCTCTTGCAAGATATGGGCATGGGGCCAGGGATTTAGCTCAGTGGTGCTGCTGCCTGCCCTGCAAGCGCAAGGTCCCAAGTTTGATCCCCAGTACCAAAAAAAAAAAAAAAAAAAAGATACGGGCACAGAAATAGGGGTCCCGTTTCTGTTTCTCTCTACCCCACACCCACCAATATTCCTTTCCATATTTTTTTTTTTCGTACAAGGGAACGAACTCAGGACCTTGCACTTGCAAGGCAGGTGGCAACACTACTGAGCTAAATACCCGGCCTCTCCTTTCCACATTTTGAGAAGGAAATGATGACAGGGCCCTGTGGTTAACAGCAAAGCCTGAGCACTTCTTCAGGTATAAGTGTCAACCCCAGCTCAGCACGTTGCTTCTGTGTAACCTAGGGCATTCACCTCCTTCCTTGACTCTGAAGAAATTCCTTCCATTGAACTGAAACCTACTTCTTGGTAATACTCACCCACCATTTTCAGATTCATCATCAGAGGTCACCCAGGCCCTCCCACCGCCTTTGCCTGCCTATGTGTGACAGACATTTGGAAGCTGGTGGGATTATGGGCTCCTGGAGGCTTCCCTTTCTGGGTTAGCATGCCACTTTCTTCCACGGAGAGCCTCCATCCTCCCCACCCCTCCACCCACTGGATTCCCCCAGAAGCTCAATGAGACAGGCAGAGTAGTGTGGTCATCAAGAGTGTGGCCTCTGCACTCGGACACCTCGGTATGAATGCTGGCCGTACCTCTTTCTAGCTGTGTGGCCCTGGGCAAGTCACTTCAGCTCTCTGGGCCTCAATTTTCAGTTGCCTCACTTCAAAGCACAGATAATCATAGCTCTGATAGGATTGTGCTATGAGGATGAAGTCAGTGAATACCTGCTAAACCTCAGAGACGTGCCTGTACATGGTTTTGCCAGGATGAGTTACCTAGTTTGTGTCTTGTGACCCTACCCACTGCACTCCATGGTCAACTGATTGGTCCTTGACAGAAGGTCAAGGTCTGCTGATGCCAGGTTAGGAGTAGCTTCCCGCAGGAGGTGACTTGTTTGCAGTCTTCCAAAGAAGCTTGGGAATTCCTGGGCCCAAGGCAGCAATTTCTGCCAGTCCAAGGCTAGGATGCTTGGAAATGTAGCATCCACATGCCCACGGGCCTGTTCCCAGTGGGCAGGGCTGAGCATTAGGGAGGCAGGGGCAGTGGAAGGACCCCGATCTCGGAATGAACTGCTCCCTCTGCCAATTCCAACTCCACCAGTTTCTGGCTGTTCCCATAAGTTCATGACTTGCTCTTCCTGAGCAGCCTTCTCATCACCTGCAGAATAGGAATACAACTCTCCCCCTAGCCACCACTTCCTGTGCTTCTCAAGCTAACTAAAGTACACCACGACTATATCGGTAGGAGACCAGGACATCCTGGACCCCAGGCCAGAGGACCACATCCGGGTCTGGATTTCACCTATAAAACCATCAGGAATCCAGACAAGACTTCCTCTCTGCCCCTCCTCTCCTCCCTTTTTCCAGTTGTTTACTTCATTCTCCTACTTCTGCAGAGAGGCTTCTGCCACTCAGCTGCTACCAGTGGCCGCCCTCTCCCGAGCTCCCAGCTGTGTGTGTGACTGTCCCTGCCTCATTCACTCTGGCTGCTGTCTCTCAGTCCCAATTCCAAATTCCTGGGAAGAAGAATCTAGCCCAGCTTGGGCCTGGCATCCACCTTGGTTTGATCAGCTATGGCACAGGGAGCTATGGCTAGAAAAGGCAGGTCACCTAGCATGGCTGGGGACCCCCAGGAATAAAGTGAGAAGAAAGAATTTCTCAGAAAGAGGGTGGCCACGATCAAGACAGGTCCCCCAAAGAGCCCCAGCATCCTCATGTGTTCAGTCCACACAGGTGGCTTATGGACACTCCTACCTCATTTTTCTCTCATCTACGTGCTCAAGAGTATCATTAAATTACAGTCAGCTCTCTGTATCCAAGGGCTTCGTATTCATGGGTTCAAACAATCACAGATAAAAAATATTGTGTCTATGTACAGACGTTTTTTCTTGTCAATATTTCTTAATATAGGGTATAATTGCTTGTGTAAACAGGTAAATAGGTATTATAAGTAAATATTGTGATAGGTATTATAGGTAATCTAGAGATGATTTAACGTTGTAAGTCATATGGAAAAACTGCACCACCTGAGCACCTGTGGATTTTGGTATCTGAGGGGGATCCTGGAACTAGTCTTTCACAGATACGGATACAGCTATATGGTTTACAATAATATGTGCTTTTTAGAGGTGGATATGGTGGTGCACATCTGTAATCCCAGCACTCAGGAGGCTGAGGCAAGAGGATTGCTGTGCTTTCAAGGCCAGCCTAGGCTACATAGTGAGTTTAAGGACAGCGTGAACTACATTGTGAGACCCTGTCTCGAAAAAAGAAAAAAGAAAAAAGAAAGAAAGCTGTCACTCCTAGCTCCTTATGGGAAGCAAACCTGTCTGCCATCTCTTTCCACTTCATCAGCATTTTTCGTGGCTGCCTCTCAACAGGAAGGTCAAGTCTTCGAAGAAAATAATCTACAACCCCTTGCTCTTCTAACATCAAGGGGACTCGGTAGATAGTTGAGACATCATGGACACAGATCACCTGTTTGAAAAAAAGCAAATTACTTAATAAAATAAAAAAATAACAGAGCTTAACAGCCTCCTACTAACTATGTGAACTTCAGGAAAAATTCTCAGTTTGAAAACCTTTTTTCAAAAGGGAAATTTTTTAGAAAAAGACAAATCACCAAAACTGACTCAGGAACAGGACAAAAAATTAGTGACTAATCTACTGTGAAAATGAATGTAAAAATTCCTAAAAAAAAAAGCACATTCAAAGAGGACTTGTCCCAGAAACCCTTGAATGGCTTCATTCAGCACAGTGTTTCTCAAACTCAAACTCAGCTGGCTGCACAATGAAATCATTAGGGGGAGTTCATAAAAATCCAAAATCCCTGGGGCCGGGGATTTAGCTCAGTGGTTTTGCCACCTGCTGTGCAAGCGCAAGGACCCAAGTTTGATCCCCGGTACCAAAAAAAAAAAAAAAAAAAAATCCAAAATCCCAGGCTACCTAGCTTAGAACCTCAAGGAGGCAGGCACCAGTATTGCTTAAAGCTCCTTCTGTGAGGTCCAACATACATATGGTCAACTTTGAAAACCACTGCATTAGGGAATTTAAAAGTAGAACTCATCACAGGGAACAGATTAAAGGAGAAAAACAGAGTCAGCTCTGTGGACACAGACTTGAGCAAAATCCAGACCAATTCATAATACATCACATGATTTAATTAATATTTAATATCAATGTTTATTAAAGTCCAGAGCAAGGGAAGAATGGCTTCCTGTCACTAGTAAGTGATGCTGGAGATATTAGCCACTGCAACTAGGTAAGAAACAAAATAGAAACTGAAAAGAAAAAATTGCCACTAAATGCATACATCATTTTTGCTCATCCATAAAGATCAAGAAAATTTACAGGTTAAGAGTAAGATTTAACAGAATTCTACTAAGGTTTTAGACTACAGATCAAAGGATAAAAGTTGCCAAGGTGTTCTGTGTGCGTGCCATGTCTATACAGGAAATTCAATTTTTTAAATGTCACTATAATAATAAAAATTAGGAATAGCTATCAGTAAATTTATCATTACAGGGGCCGGGGATTTAGCTCAGTGGTTCCGCCACCTGCCTCAAAAGTGCAAGGTCCCGAGTTTGATCCCTGGTAAAACATTATAGGATATTATCAAAGGATAGTCCTTTTGACAAATGAGTTTGGGACAACTGGCTATCCAGAAGGATGAATCTCAAGCTTTACCTCACCATCTACAAATGTTAACTCAAAACAGATCACATAAGACATAAAACTGTTAGAAGAAAATCTTCATAACTTGGGTGAGCAAAGAGTTCTTAGATATGACATAAAAGCATAAAAAAAAGGATAAACTGAAATTTTAAAAGTTTTTCTGCTTCAAAAGACACTATTAAGAAAATGAAAAGGCTGGGAAAATACTTCAAATCATATTTAAAAGACTTGTTATTTAGACTATATAAAGAACTCTTACAACTCAGCAAGATGAACAACTCAATTTTAAAAATAGGCAAAAGATCTGAAACTTAAAGATGAAAATACATGTCACATTTTAATAGTGAATAAATCTAATGAAAATCAGTTCTGCTATAGAATACACAAGATAGTTTGCTAGGACAGAAATATCTATAATAATTAAAGGCATGATAAAGGGCTGATGAGAACATGGAAATTTCTCTGCTCTTCGTGCTGCTAGCTATGAAATAGAACCCCTCCGTTGGAGTGCTGACCACGGCCCAGGCGCCCCTCACTCCAAGTCCTGAGCCATGAGGATAGAGTATAACCGCCCTCCGTAGGTCGGTGGCTTTCCTCCTGCTCTACCAACAATGTCAGGCCAATAATTTTAGTCACCTCAGTGTCTCTCAAAATCTTATTAAGTGGACTGCTTTTATTTTAACCCTGCTGCTTCACTGGCCCCTCTCCAGGACACCAGTCTCCTGACCCTCAGACCAACAAACAGTAAAACAAACTCTCCATAACCTTGTCTTTTTTTTTTTTTTGGTACTGGGGATCGAACTCAGGACCTTGCGCTTGCGAGGCAGACGCTGGAACCACTGAGCTAAATCCTTGGCCCCCATAATCTTAGTCTTAATCCCTTGACCTCAACTTCCCATCAGCCAGACCTGACTGCTATACTTTGGATCCAGTTTGGTGTCCCACTGGGTACATGTGACTGAAGCCTTGGGCCCAGGGAGGCTAAGGTATTGGGAGGTACTGTGGAACCTACAAGAGGGCGGGCCTAGTGGGAGATCCTTAAGCCACTCGGGTCCTGCCCTCAAACGGAATAAAGACATTTATACTGTAACCTAGATTTCTGGAGAGAGGACTGCTATAAAAGGAGCAAACCTGGCCCCTCCCTCTGTTTCTGGCTCAAAACTTGACCTTCCTCCCCACACATTCCGCCATTGGCCAAAGGACCTTCCCAGAGCCTGGCCTATGGTGTCTGGAGCACAGCCTCCAAGATTGTGAGCAAAACTTATCTCTTTTTTTGTAACAAGTTAGCTGCCCCAGGTTGTTTTTTGGTAGTGATGAAAAGCTGACTAATGCTGACCAATGTCACAATCTCAATTAATGACAAATACAATTTCCACAGTAAGCACCACACTTAGATACAGCAAAGGATCCGAAGTTTTGAATTTCCTATACCACAGGTCCCCTCCATTAGCATAGTAACAAAAAGACTACAAGACTACAACACCAGACACCAGGCACCAGAAACATCAAGCTGCATAAGGTGGCCTTCTGGAAGCTTGCAGTCTGTAAGGAAAGACAATATGGACACACATGGGTGTGCACAAGGCAGGTTCACCACCAGTATGTGTGAGACGAATAGGTTGCCCAGAAGTGGAAGTGATTAGCCCTGAGGGTTGAGGCTTGGTAGGTAAAGCTTCTAAGAAAGTAAGTCTTAGTCGACCCTGAAGGATGCAAATGAAGAAAAGGTTGCCAGGCCAGCAGGGAGAGGTAAACCCTGATTTCCTGACAGAATTAGCAAGTGCAAAGAGCAGAGACTGGAGAAAGTTTGGGGTGTTAGGTGAAGAGAAAGACATTCATCTTGGATGGAGCACAAAAACAAGCAGTGGGGAAAGTAGGAAGAGGAAAGAGAGGGACAGGTATGTTTGGGGAGCCACAGAGCCAACGAGTATCAGTTCTCCTAAAGGACGATCTACTGTTTCTGATTTTTTTTTTTTTTTGGAACCAGGGATCAAACTCTGGTCCTTGTGCTTGCACAGCTGGCGGTGAAACCACTGAGCTAAATCCCCAGCCCTACCGTTTCTAATTAGTAAATAACAACAAGCCTCATAAAGCTCACAGCCAAGAGGTTTCAGGCAATTAGAAGCCAATTCCAGAGAGATCGAATGTGTACTTACTTGTTCAGGTTCCACATGGCAGAACATTGATATTTTCTCTTTCACAGATGTGTCCAGAGGATTTGAGCACCTGCACACAACCTGGCAATAGAGAAAACAAGATGGCTTAGAAGGAAGAAAGGGTTACAAAGTTGGGTGTCCCCCAGACTGAACTCAAAATAGACATCACATTGTTAAGATGAATGAGTATGTCTGCTCTTGGCACAATGCACATAGTCCACAAAAATACTATTGCCTGTTTTAAAAAATGAAACTCCTAAATCCCAAATTAGAGAACCATTAGGAAGATGGTAATACCAATGAAAGGCAGATGAATAAAACTAGAGGTGCTACTAACTGGGGCTTTCCTCTCCAATGAATATTCTTGGGCAGGAGCAAAAAAGAGAATAAATAAAAGGACGGACAGAAGAAATAAGGCACGGGGCATGTAAGACTTCACACATGCTAATAAGAAAATCTCCATTCAAAGCACTAAACCTACTTTCTTCACTATCAATCATCATCAAGAGCCTGTCAAGCAGGTGAAGGTCTTGCCTGGCCTGTCATGGAGATGTGTTTTAATTAGTCGAAGAACCCAGGAAATCTTACCAAGTCTGGGGAAAGTCCAAGCCCTCTAAGTTCCCGAACGCTGTTTTGGGTGGGTTTTGTCTTCTGTTCCCCTGTTGAACTTGGCTATTTTACAAAAGAAAAAAAGGTTAGTTTCTCCATGATAAAAATTTTTCAAATATCACTTTTCCCTGAATCCCTCTTAATAGAGGATCTGATCGTTTACACACTTCAGCTTGTATTTTTGAAGTTACACACAGATGTATTTGAGAGTCAAACAGTCCTACTGAAGAACAGTGGTCTCTGGGCTCCCCTGCTCTCTCTCACATTCCTAACCCACAAACAGTGGCCTGTGACTATTTTTTCAGTGCTGGGGATCAAACACAGGGCCTTGTGCACGCTAGTCAAGTACTCCTCCTCGAAGCCACACCCCACCACTTGAGCTCTTTAACTGATCCTTCTCCTATGTTTTATTGCTACTGACATTTTGCTTGAAGCATTTTCTGTGATTGGACTGCTAAGTGAGAATCTGCCCTCTCTCTCATTCCCATCCCCTACACTGCACCCTTCCAGTGCCTGTAGCCCTCTTCAAGGATAAAATACTGTTCATTTAAACCATATGCCACATTCTTCCTTTTATAATAAATTATCTTTATTCTCCTTTCACTTAAGAGACAGATTTGCTGCATTCAGAATTCTAGTTTGGAAATAATTTCCTCTTGCAATACTTGAACACAATAGCTTCACTGTCTTTTAGCTTCTAGTACTGCTGTATTGATTCTTGATTTTGCTCTTTAGAAGAAAGTGTTTTTCTTTTTAGGGCCTTTTAGATTTCTGCCCCACTGCTCCTCTGATCCTTCACAATGATATGCCTCGGTGAGGTCATTTTTCATCCAACACGCTGCACAGCCAGTGGGCCCTTTCAATCCAGAAACTCGTCTAGAAATTTCCTTGTTTAGATCAAATGTCAGAAAACTTTCTCTGTAAAGGGCCAAATAATAAATTTTAGGTTTTGTGGACTGTATGGCACCTGTCATAACTACTAAACTTTACTGTTTTAGTACAAAAACAACCACAGACAACAACACATCAACAAAAGGATGTGATTCTGGTTCCATAAACTTTATTTTCAAAAACAGTAGAAGTTTTGGCATTGGGACCATAGTTTGCTGAACCCTGACATCAGATTATCCACTTCCCTCTCCATTTCTGTTTTTATTTTCTAGAAATCCTACCAATTGATGTCAAAACTTCTTATCGTTCCTCCCTTATTCTGTCTCTTAGTTTCTACCCCATTCACGAATTATTTCATCAACTTTCTCTTATCATCTCTGCTATCCAATTCTTTTTGTTGTTGTTGCTGGTACTGGAGATTGAATCCAAAGCCTTCACATGGAGCTACATCCCTAGCCCTTTTAAAAGAAAAAAAAAAAATTTTTAAGACAGGGTCTTGCTATGTCACTAAGTTATCTAGTCACTAAATTTGAGCTTGAACTTGTGACCCTCCTGTCTCAGCCTTCCAGACTACTAGGATTATAGGATTATACAACCACACTATGCCTCTCTCTCTCTCTCTCTCTCTCTAGAGACAAGGTCTTGCTATGTAGTTTAGGCTGGCCTTGAACTCACTATGTACCCTAGGTTGACTTCACTCTCCGCAATCCTCCTGCCTCAACCTTCCTCACACTAGGATTACAAGCATGCTCCAGCCAATTCTTTTTTTTTTTTCTTTTGGTACCAGGGACTGAACTCAGGTCCTTGCGCTTTTGAGCCAGGTGGCAGAATCACTGAGCTAAATCCCCAGCCCAAGCCAATTCTTATTCTTACATATTCTTTTGTCTCCACAGGTTCCCTACTTATGGCATGCACAGTTTTTATCTGGTACAAGCAGTTTACTGCCTTTTAATCACTGGCTGGCACCTCATACTTAATAGCTAACTGGAAGCCCATGTGAGTGGCAGGCTGGTCACTGCAGGTCAGTGGCCAGCCTGTTTCCCAGAGGAGCCCTGGGAGCAGTGTCTTTTCTTCCAGGCTAGTCATATCTGGGAAGGCTCTTACTATGCAGCATGTAGAAGGCTGTGAAGCTTCTAAGAAACAAGAGGTGGAAGAAAGCAAGGTATCTCCACAGCATTTCAAGCAGCATAATATCACACTCAACCACATGAGTGTGGCTCAGTGTTACTGCCCTCAGCTGACCCCGGTGCCTGCCTGTCCAGAACTTTCCTTGGGGCCCAGTCTTCTGTCAAGGTGGAAAGAGGCTGATGCCCAACTGTACATAGTAGGGAAGGGGTCAGGGTCTACCTCCTCTGAAACAGCAGCTGTAACTGTGAGACCAAAGCGACTCCATTTTGCTAAAATCCACCATTCCCCTAGGCTCTCAAATTAATGGTTAAAATGTGTTTGCTCTGGGACAGGAGACACAATCTGTAACAGGACAAGATTCCTAAGTTTATTACTCAGCCATTTGTTTACCCTAGAAGCAAATGTCCTGCGCCCGCTATCTATAGGACAATCTGTTAATGTGCTGGCTATCCACACAGGGTGGTCGTGACTATTAGTCAGGATGTCTGCTGACCATCAGTATGTGACAGTGGGCCACTAACCTTTGTCCCCTTTTTCCCTTGTAAAACCTATACGTAATCCCCCTCAACCGCCCCCCATGAGCCTAGCCAATCAAAAATCTACACTTCATGCATGCTAAGCATCGACTAATCATTATAACTGCTAGATGAAACCTTGCTGTAGCTTCTATAAAAACCCTGCTAATTCAAAATTCGGGGCTCTCAATCTTGACCCGCTGCGTCGGTGACAGTTGAGAGCCCCTGCTCGAGCTTGAATAAACGACCCTCCACCCTCGTGCGTTTGCATCGTAATCGGCTCCTTGGTGGTCTTTGGGGACTTCGCGATCTGGGCACAACATAACAAGTCCTACCCCACCCCCGCCCAGAGAACCTGGTGCTGCCCACCTTGACGCCCCAGTTGCTCTGCAGGGCAAACAGAGCTGCTTTTCTGCTCTCCTTGCTCCAGGCTGAGGGTTAAGTGCTCCCAGGTCAGCTTGGTCAGTTTCTACATGTCAATCTGCTTTCTCATTTGTATTACTATTGATTTCTCTTCACAGTATTTATCTGTGAAATTTTGCCTTAAAAAGAAAGCTTTAATTTTTGCCATTCAGTAAGACAAGCACATATGGTCAATCCACCATCAACAGTAACTCCCCTGATTCACTTTTCAAACGTTTTCCATTCGATCTTTTCACAAGACATAATGACCGCAAGCTTAAATTCACAAAGAAGTTCTTTATATCCTGTTTTGTGTACCTCAAGTACTGAAAACTATTAGATTAACAAGTGAAAATCAACCTTCTCTCCCCCAAAACCTGACTGTAAATTCCTTACCTGTGGAACCAGACTGACGTGGATATTACAAAAGTTCTCCTTTTTGACCTTGAACTGGAACTGCCGGAAGGCCTCAATGAAGGGCATGCTTTCGATATCTCCTACTGTCCCACCAAGCTGGAAGAGCAACACTAATTTAGGAGGAAAGCACTCAACCTTTCTCTCTGGTGGTTTCCATTCTAGCATCTGCTGTCCCCTTGATTCAGTGGCCAATAACAGTGTGATGTGGGTTCCTCGGCCCTACAGAATGTCAGTCACAGACATTTCTTTGTGCTGCAAGGTGACTCTTCTGGCTAGGCTCACAATTCCCAAGGCTATTACAGAACTTTATACAGTATTTCAAGAAAAAGATCAGGTGAAACAAGGACCAGGAATTTTATTTGCCCAAGAGTCACAAAGCAAAAAAATCTGATCTTATTTCTTTTACCATAAATAACTTGTATATTATTAAAAAGCATCAGTTATAAACAAATTATGAGAACTTTTGAGTCTCCTGATTTTGAAGGAACACTGAGATCCAACAGCTGAGATCAGCAGACAGTACAGAAACCAAAACCAAAAAGCTCATTTAGTGAGGGAGATGTTCCTGCCAGAAGAAAGTAAAGGTCTGCTGACTCCATCAAGAGCCAGATGAAAGCCTGTCTTGCCACTCTTTCTGGCACAGCTGGCACTACGTGGACCCATGAATGCTGCAAAGGAGTAGACAGTATATTTAGATAAGAAGTGCTCTCCCCCAAGTGGCCGCTCCACATGACCATTACTGTGCTCTCACCAGCCACACTGCCCTGACACAGAGATGGGGACAAGGATTCCCTGGGAACTGTCTTGCCTGGCTGACCAAGGAGACGAGCGCGTGGAGTATTCACAGATGCAAGAACCATACAAACCTCGATAACACACACTTGAGGTTCTAGGCCATCTTCATCTACAGGTATTAATGCCTGTTTCATCACCCACTCCTGGATTGCATCTGTGATGTGAGGGACAACTGGGAAACAGAAAAGAAACCTGTCACTTACACTTGTCCATCACTGAGGCAAATAACATTTATTATTAAACTGCTGCACTCTTTGCCTGGACGGAGTAGCAGTGGGGCCAAAAAAAATTTTTTTTGGAGGCTCCTTTCAAATGGCCTCATGAAATCTTTGGGCTCACATTCCCCATGGTCTCCTCTCCAGAGTTCCAGGTCGTCAATGGGAACATTGCAAAAGGAGGAGGCCGAGAGTGGCATTCTGAAGCCCCTGTCCCGTGCAGAGTCTGCTCTTCCAGCTGCACACAAAGGAACAGATGGCCACCCCTATTTTCAACAGCCAGAGCTGAAGGGGGGGCTGGGCACCTCACATCTTCCTGATGCTTTTCCAGGAACAAGAGACCACTAGGACCCTGTCCCACTTCATTTCCAGTTCTGAAGGGTAGATAATCACTCCAGAGTGGTTGGGGCACAGCACATGGAGTCTAGGTTCAGATCTCAGGTGTGGTGCACTGGTCAAATTACTTAACTGTTCTTAAGCTTGGTTTCCCCGTTAAGTGGGGGTAATACTCCTACTTCATAAAATTGTGGAAATTTTATGAGATAACCTACCATGCTAGAGCTCAATAAATGCCAACTATAGCTGAACACTTTTTAAAAATCATAGCTGTTGGGCTCAGACTGTAAGTTCTTAAGGAGCAAGATTACTATTTAACTCTAACACTCTCATTAAACAGCAGTGCCTTGTGTACAAGGATGTTTATTATCTATTATACACACAGCTGACAAAGCAGTCTTTTAAAAATGCAAATAGGAACTCATCAGTCCTATGTTTAAGCTCTTCAGTGCTTCCCACTGCTCTGAGTCAAATCCAAACTCCTTGCCGTAGCTCAGAAGGCCCACCTGGGTGACCTCTGACAGACACTGTGGTTGCTGGCCTCAGCCACATGGTCTCCTCTCTATTCTTTATGAGTCCTCTGTGGCCTTGGGTCTCTGTTCTTGTGGTGCCCCTTATCTCATGATCAGCTCCTCGGCTCAAAAATCATCTCCTCAGAGGCTTCCTCTGACCACCTGACCAAAGTGGCTTTTCCCAAGTCCTGCTTTCTTGCCTCATTCCATTTATATCTCCTTCACAGCTCCCATCAGGCCTCTTGTTAGAAGGGCAATGATCCTGTTGATCTTGTTTTCATGTATTCTCAGCACTAATAAGGGTCTGACCACAGTGAGTGTTCAATAAATACTTGATGAATAGCAAACAGATGAATGAATACACTGGAGGCCTAGAACAACAAAGTCTGATGGACAAGATTTTAATTCCTAATTGATCCTTTCTATGTGTCAGGGAAACTTTATTGATGTAGTGCCTCAGACCTAAGAGCTAGAAAGGCAGGTGCTGCTACTATCTCAATTTCATAGAAAGGGAAACCGTATCTCAAGAAATTATACAATCTGCCCATGTTCATAAGGCTGCTAAGTGACAGGGCAAAGATCCAAATATGACCCAATTAGCCCAGAATATGGTCACACTGAGATAAGAGATTAGGGCTTGGCAAAGCTGGCTGGGGTAGTAGGCATGACATGTTAATTATAAGATTCGGGATACATGCGCAGAACGATTTCCAAAGCCTTGCATATGGACTTCCCATGAGAACTCGAGCAGGTTTTCAATAGGATGGCCTAGACCTGACTTCAGCCTGAGAGGTGGGATCCCAGGACTCCCCTCAGGACCCATATGGAGAAGTTCTTGGCGGTTTCCTTGAGATTTAGATAGCATAAAAGAACACAAGATGCCATGAAGATTTTGTTATTCTAACTTCCCATGATAACCCACACTGTGTTTCCCACATGCAGCATGTACTTTTATCTTTGCTCTCACTCTCTTTTTCTATTTATTCAATCCAAGCTCCCTCTGCAGAGCCAGTTTCTCTCCCACTCTTCATTTTTGCTTTCTTGAATAAACTTTGCTACTGCTTTTTACTTGTTTCATTCAGTTCTTTATTTGAGGTGAGAAGAACCTGGAATCCAACTCCAGAAGGAAAGGCGAGCAATCCAGAACCCAGTAACATTTAGCTGGCAAGCCACTTTTTAGAAACAAGCTACCCAACATTTTGATGATCTGAGCCAGTAGAGTACATTTTGGCATGGCCAGTCACGAGAAAAAAGCTCAGGTGCCAGAGATGAAGGTAAGGCCCAACCAAGTTGGGCAAAAAGTTTTGTTTCTCTCCACAAGGCTTTTCCTTCCTTCTCTCTCCCTCTTTGCCTCACTCTCTCCTAAACAGGGAATCCAGGAACTCTTCTCAAGGTGACAGACAAAGAGGGACTTCCTGGCCTGGCCCTGGGGATGGGGGAATGGACGGTAGGTTTTGTTGCTCTTTCTAGCTGCTTGTGCCATGGGTCCTTGTTTTCCACACATTTGTTGTACTTTGGTTTTTTGGAACCAACTTGGTCTTTGTGTACCCTACTTTGTAAATGGCTTTTTCTCAGCTTGTGTTTTGGTCAAGGGTGCCACCATGTTACCTTGCCATGTGGTCAGCAGCTATACTATCTTGGCACGTGGCCAGCTTGTCTTTTTGTATGATCAAGTAACTTTTACATGGGTGTGCCACCACCAGCCAATGACATCTTTTTTTTAAATCTCTTTTTTTTCCCTCTTTTTAAAATAACTAGCCTTATGAGCTAAGCCTCTGATTTTAGACAGCATATGGGCTTATGCAAAACCTGAGAGAGGAACCTTTTTCTTCCCGACAGAAGGAAAAACTCTGTACTACCCCTTTAAGAACCTCTGCAGTCATTTGCGGATACAAAGCTTTTGGGTGGGAGTAACAACCAGAGGATCTCTGGCTGTGGCCCCAGGCAAATGCAGGTGCACATGGATGCATGCCCAGGAGGACACCAGAGTGGCCAGGTCCCATCCCAGCAGGACACCACCATCTTACTGTGGCTAGAGGGTAGAAATGGAAATCCAAGAAAAAAAAATCCATTTTAAAACATTCAAGGCTTTTGGCCAAAACCTAGTGCCTCAGCCACTCCAAGAGGCTGCCTGAGAGCATCGTCACCTGGCTTTTGTACTTCCCTGTTAAATGCAGCTCAGTTAAGGACCATGCATGAACAAAAAAAAATTAACATTTAAAAACTTAACTAAAGTGACTGTAAGTATATGAAAACAGCCATCCCAACTCTTACTACTTTTTCTGTCAGAATAAATGTGGGAGATGTTTTCTCACATGGTTTCTGGTTAAGTACAATCATCAAGGGACTCAAAATACCAGCTGAGCCATCAAAGGGTTCAAGTAGATGGCTAAAGGAACTTTGCTTGGGAAAGTTCCACCCTTACTTCAGAGTTTGGACTTGGCAAAGCCAAGAGATGGCCCAGCCCCCTTCTCCCTAATGAGATAATGGGTCCAAATATGGAGACAAAAGCCCCCTGGGGCTTTCTTCTGTGCTTAATGATGCCAGCATCACTCTAAGGTTCTCTGATAGAAATGTCTATCTGGGTTTTGTAAAGTCTCACAAGGGCACTTTGTGGGCTTCGGGTCTCCTTATGCACAGGATGCCTCCTTCAGGACTGTAGGCCTAGTTGTCTCCTTCTCTCTATAGGTCCCAAGACAAGCAGTTGGGAAAGCTACTGGATCTCGAAACCATGTGGATTTCACTGACTTCACCACAAGGCCATATTCCCGATGAGTGGAAAAGGTTTGATCCTGACAATCTAGAATAGGAGCAGCATGTCTACTATTGCAATATGATTTGCGTCCAACATGAACTGGGAGATGGAGAGAGATGGGCAGGGGATGCTACTTTAAATTATAAAACTATTCTCCAGTTACAGTGTTTTTGCTTAAAACATGCAAAGAAGAATGAAATGTCTTATGTTCAGGCTTTTGTGACTCTTTATCAAAGGGAATGCTCAGGAGCTATGGTGTTCGGAGTGACCCCCAGGGAGGAAAAAGATATTCTGGATAACCCTGTCCTGAGATCCCCTTTTGTCCCTTGGGAACTAAGGGTATCTCTGATCTGTCTGTCCTCCACCTCCTCCATACAGCCCCCAGGCCAATAAATCAAGGCCATCCCCTCCAGGTGACTCAGGGACTCCACTAGAGCCTAGTGCCCCAGGGGAACCCAGTGATTCTCAGACCTCTTATGCTTCTCACACAGCTTTAAGCCTCTCAGGTAGAACCCGAAGTGGTGCTTCTTACTACCCTAATTCACAACTTATTCTGCCCCTAAGTCTCAGGACTAGGGGGAATACTCGAGTACAAGCTCCTTTTTCAGCTGCAGATGTCCAACAGTTCAAGGAATGATTAGGCCAACCATCAGAAGGTTCTAGTATATTTGCAGGTGGGTTTCAAACTTTGGCCCTTGCTTTTGATTTATCATGGTGAGATGTCCAATACATCTTAGCCACTTGCTGTACCCCAGATGAAAAAGAATCCTAGAAGAGGCTAGAAACTATGCAAATGAGCAGTATGCCTTGAAAAGTAAAGGAAACCACCCTGGAGAAGCTATTCTCCCTCAAACAAAGCCAAACTGGGACTATAATACTCAGGAGGTACTAAAGATGATGTCTAGCATTAAAAAGTCTGTTAATTATGATAAAGTGAGTGGGACCTTACAAGGTGCAGAAGAAAATCCAGCTTTGTTTCATAACCAATTGGCAGAGGCCTTCCCAAGTATACTAATATAGATAGATCCATCTTCCAGGGAGAGAGAGGCACCAACGGGACATCATTTCATCTGTCAATCAGCCTCAGATATTCCAACCAGGAATTTCTAATTGTCCCACACTGTCCTGTTCCCTTGTTAGGAAGAGATTTACTAGCTAAACTGGGGGCAATTCTCAAATTCCAGCTAAGGCCAAAATAAATTTTACTTGTCAAGACTATACCCGATCTCCGTGACCAAATTAGCCAACAAGTAGATACTACTGCATGGTACAATGGAATACCTGGTAGGGCAAATTCTGCTATTCCAGTAGCTACAAGACTAAAAACACCGAGACACGTGTGGTGGCACATGCCTGCAATCCCTGCACTAGGGAAGCTGAGGCAGGAAGATTCCTGCGAGTTTAAGGCCAGCCTGAACTACATAGTGAGACCGTGTCTCAAACCCAACCCCCAAAGCCGATTTCCTAACCAAAAGCAGTATCTAATCAAGGAAGAGGCACATAAAGGCCTCCAGCCTCTCATAGACAAGTTCCTCAAATATGGCCTTCTGAAGCCTTGCCAGACCCCTTGTAATACTCCCATTCTCCCTGTAGTAAAGCCCTCAGGAGAATATCAGATGGTATATGACCTCCGTCTCACTAACAAGGCTATCATTCCAATCTTCTCTCCCAAATTCCAAGGGACACTAATTGGTTCTCAGTCTTAAGATTTAAAAGATGAAGAAAAAAAAAAAGATGTATTTTCCTCCATCCCCTACATTCAGACTCTCAATTTGTTTGCTTTTGAATGGGAAACTACCTTTTCAAGAGAAAAGCAGCAATATACCTGGACAGTTCTCCCACAAGGGTTGAGACCTTTATGCTCAGGCACTAGAGGAAGACGTTAGGAACTTAGAGCTTAAACAAGTAACAATCCTACAGTATGTACATGATATTCCAGTTTGTAGCCCAACTCAGAAATTATCTAGCTATAAATTGTACAGACTCTCAACTTTCTAGCTAAGGAATATAGTCTCCAAAGAAAAGGCCCAGTATCCCTCCAAAACGTTCTGTATCTGGGATATATTCTTACACCTGAGGAATGACAGTTGTCCAGGGACTGGATCCAAGCTATCTGTGATCTTGGGCCTCCTGCCACCAAGCAACAGCTTCATTCTCTCCTGGGGATGGCTAGCTTTTGTAGGATCTGGCTACCTAATATTGGACTAATGGCAAAGCCTTTGAATGGCAAAATAACAACAACAACAACAAAAAGCTAGAAACAATGTTCACACTCATATAAAAACAAGAAAAGAATAAGAAAAAAAAAATGTCCAATTCAAGGTGTGTCTCTGCTGTCACTGGTAGACAAACTAGGCAGACAGAGCCCAGATCCATGTTAATTAATCCCACCAAGCCAGCCATAGATTTACAGCAAGGTAATGGATAATCCCTAACATTTAATTGGTGTGCCACTGTTTGTTTTTTGTTTTGGTGCTGGGATCAAACTCGGGACCTTGAGCTTGCTAGGCAGGCAGCGAACCACTAAGCTAAATCCCCGGCCCAGTGAGCCACTTTTAGAAGGAGCTACTCAGTAACAACACTCATCCTAGGCCAGACCCAGCTGTCAGTGTGACACTCAGCTCTCAGGCCAAAAGCACACCTACTCTCATAACTCAGAGGAAAGCACTTTGGGCTAGCACCATTCCATTAGATCATTGTTTTTCCAACCCTACCTTTTTAAAGTAACAGAACACTGATCTCAAATAAGCAGTTCTACAAAACTCCAAAACAGCAAATAGCTAAAAGCGAAGCTGTGCTCAGGAAAACGTGGGAGAACTCAGGAACTCTCTTTAGACACTCCCTGGTCCATGTGACACTGATGAAAAGCCTGAAAATGCACACATTTCCTTCCTTATCTCTGTCTATTTATAGTCCTAGATGCATAGTATCCACACCACCTTGGTTCGATGCCCTAATCTAGTTGCCACTGTCACTTCACATTCATTATTGTGCAAAACCAGCAGCTCTCTGGACTCAAACCATGCTGCCTTGCCTGGACTAACAAGCTTCAATGCCATTCATGGTGTAGCAGTGGCTTCTTCAAATGATTTTTCAAGTAAATGGCCAAACAATTCAGAATTTTCAACTGAAGGCATGTTTCAGTAATAATACTTTTGACAAAATGATGCAATCACATAAAAAGTACATTTTTAACCCAAAAGAAGTTAAGAATCTTAAAGGTAAATCCAGTCTTACCCTGGACAGTTTTCCCCAAGTAATCTCCTTTTCGTTCCTTGTTAATGACGTGCTGGTAGATCTTCCCAGTGGTGAGATTGTTGTCCTTGGTGAGGCGGATGTCAAGGAACCGCTCATAGTTCCCCAGGTCAAGGTCAACTTCCCCACCATCATCCAGAACAAACACTTCACCTGCAGTGAAGAGTGATGATGTTTAGCTAAGTGAAGACTACATTTACCATAATATAACTTGACTCCTGAAATACAAACACTTGGAACACAATAAGGTCTGCATTAGCCTGACAGAAGCACAGAAATCTATTTCTGGAAAGCTAAATATGACACACAAAGAAAAATTACCAACCACTCTCTAAAAGGTACCTTCAGAGAGAAGGTGAGCCAGTCCCAGTGCCTGGGAGAAGGCTCCCCCATCGCCATTCCAAGATCCTAGGACAGAGGACGTGAGCCAGTCCCAGCACCTGGGAGGAGGCTCCCCGCCGCCATTCCACGATCCTAGGACACAGGAAGTGAGCTGCGCGGGTGACAGAAGCACCCCAACCCCACCCCGTGGAAATGAGAAGACACATAAACAAGCCTCAAAAACAGACTTCCAGATCACCTACAGCAACCCCAAAGGGAAATGAGATGGAACA